CCCAACTTGAGTTGTCAGAAATATACCAATTTTCATCCACCCAAACATTCGAAACAAGAATTTTTGGCGCGAGAATAATTATCCCTTTTCACTATTCTGTAAGCGTGTAGTATCTGGAATGTAGATGATCTGTGTCGAAAACTTAGGGGCCTAGCTGAGTTAGACGGTAATGGTGCTAACAACCAGATAGCGTCGTAGTCATACCTCGTGCTAAGTATCTAACATTGATCAACCTTTCGTAGTATCCAGGTACAATCGCTACCTTGATAATCGTACAACACAAACGAAGTTATTACAGAGTAGGTACAAGGAGCAGAGTGCGATCACTGCTGCATGGGCCATCCATAAATTGATGCGCGTTAGTTGCCCTTGACCTTGACGAGTATCAGTGAACTGTTTCACATTCAGTGACCAGACTTTCGTATGATTCGGCTTGGGCACATAGACATTTCACTGACCCTACAAGAATTTTAGAACAACTTCCTGTTTAACTACAGGGTCAGTACTGCAAATAACAGTTCGGTTTTCACTGGAAGTTTCATTTCAATCACTTAAGGATATTTACACTTGTTTTCAAAGGATGGTACATGGTAGCCCATTGCAAATTCCTGGTATAAAAAATCGGACGAAGTAAATGTACAAATGAGAATTACATAATAAGTGAAAAATTTTCTTCCCATATCCAGCATCAACTCTCTAAGTGGACAGGAAACGCTAAATATTGACAATTTAACAACGAACATTGATTTTATTAAAATTCTTTCGTTTCACAATTAAGTATAGTATTGTACAACTCATATACATATCAAAAGGTATAATTAAGTCACTATTTGGATTGAGGCAGTTTAAGGATTAGAGAACAGGCGCGCAAGTATAAAAATGGCGCTCGTAGGGCCAAAGTGCTCGGTAGTCCTTCTTCTTCTCAGTGTTTGGGGGATATTGATGCTCGTAAGTCTTCAAAAATTAATTAAATTAAATAGAGGAGATTTGTCATATCCAGATGTGAACTCTGGAAAGAACTATCTCGCCTTAACTGTTGACAAATTTTAATTACTTTCATCAAGTAAATTTAGGAGAATATTCTATAATGATTAAGAGTACTTAAACTGATTTTCTAACTATGAACTCCGGAAATAGTGTAATTTAAGGTGTGTGAAATTAAGTGACCTCGACTGAACGTATTGTGTTTGGAATTCGTAATCATTATTACGAATTCCAAACACAATACTCTTAAGCGTACCATCAAGTACAAAGGAATCATCAGTTAGCACAAATACCACATGTTCTCATTAAAATTCGTAGGCTAGCCACCGTTACCTAATTTCTGGGCTAAGTATGTGTTGCTGGAAGTGTAAACGTTTGTAACTGTATAATGGTTGTTTAGGATTATATCAAATGTGAAAGTTACATCTACGCACTTCTGGCAACCCATACTTTATCCAGAAGGTATATTTAATGTACTTAACTTATATCCTAGGTTTGCAGAAGTCCTCATTCTCTTTTGAATATCACACAACGTCCAAAAAAACCCAACTCGTCCGGTGAATCGTTATGTAGAACTAGTTTTTGTTCCAGCCATCTCATTTCTCACCTATCGGATATTTTCTTTAAATTAAACTCAATATTTACTTGATAAGGTTTGTTTGACCATCCATCATGCGATCCGGTATCTTCCTTAGATTCCTTCACGTATAAAGATGAAGTAATTCAATGAATAATGGACGTTCCGGTTCGTCTGCTTGATATCTTCCCTCCATACTTCATTGCATACAACATTTTTATGTTAAAAAATCAGCGAATTTTCATGAAAATGTATTTTAAGGTGATGACAAGTTACACGGGCGCAAGTAACTAAATCCAAAACCATTTATCAGAGACTTGTAGATGTTTTACAGACTTCTGAATCCAAGCTAGTTTCCATCATTACTTTTGATATTACCTTGTTCCTTGTTTTAAGTGGGTGTTCATTTGTGATGAATTGGCTGCAATTTATAATGGTTGGCACGAATCAGTTATAGTCACATATTTTAATGTTCCCCTGTTAAATAAGATGGGCCAAGAGTCACCTTTTTGTCAAATTCGTTACTATATGAAAACTAAGGAAAAAGCCAGTGATTTTAGCTATCTGTTCTTTAATTCACGATAATCCTACTGTCAGTCTAAAAGTTTAAGTGAACTATATAAACCTAAAAATCATGTCTACATTTTGTTGTAAATGTTGGGGCTCAACAAACGGGCGTTTTATTCTTAAGTTAAGTGATATTTCAACAATCTATCCATTCATGTGAAGTGTAACTTTTTTAACTTTATTATCAAAAACCGAATATACAAAACACAGTACCTCGATTTATAGACTTTTGAGTTCGTACATAACTATATCCCGTAAATGGGGGAGATTTCCCTCTTTACAAACAACAAGGTTTTAGTTTCATATTACTTCTCAGCCCATAACCTGGATTCCTTAAGTTGAGTTGGCTAATTTCCTGTGTGATCTTTATTGATCATCACCACCCTTACCTGTGCATATTTTTTCCTCAAAAATCCTCGTAACCAAAACCACACCTACAGTATCGTGGGCTTCTGATCCAGTTACATTTACGAACAATACAGGCATCCGCAATAGTTCTAACGTACTAGAACAGGATACTTAGTTGCACGTTATGTGTCTTCTGAACCATATCCTTTAATCCTTAGTATCTCAAATATTCAATGCACGGTATATTTCCGATATGGATATACAAAATTCAAATGTAGCCATGCACCGCCTGTAGTACTTAGCATATAAGTCCCGTAAGATTCACCATGTGGTTTGGGATTTCGTGACGCATTCGTGTGAGGACATGTACCTGATTATTCATAAGAAATTCTTATTCTAAGTAATGAACCTGTTACAAAATTCCATCTCTAATTCATGTGTTCACATTTAAAACAGATTAAATTTACTTCTTTACCTTTCCTTCTATGAACCGATTCTCTCTCCCTATATCATGTCCTTATATGCAGTCTTTTTCCAGTCTACCATTAAAGTAACTGCTTCTATGGATTTAATGTTCATCTTGTACTAATGAGGTATGCGAATTCGGGCCGATGCATATATGTGCTTGGTCCTACGTTTTAGATAACTGACTGAATTAAAAGAGCATTCCATTCTAGAATGAGGTTACTGAAAGTGTATTTCTAAAGTCTGCGTAAGCGGTCTTATTGAAATAATGTAATTTATAGTTACGATTTGTTAGAAAAACGACCTGTATAAAACTAGTGGATATTAACAAACTTTTCAAACTATTGATACTCAAAATTTGTCGGAACATGGGCACGATTAATAAAGAAGCTGTGTCCATTGACTATTCGGATCTTGTTAAGGTCTTCAGTAAGTTACTTGTTATACTTTTTCTTGGTAAACTAATATAGATGAACACCATAGACAATTAGATTTACATACTCAGTTTTAGCTGTACTCTTAAAATTAGCGATATTGTCTGACTGTCCAGATCGAAATAGCTAAAAGGACGTCCAAACCACTGTCTAGTATGTGAAACTCAAGTGTTTTAACCACTAAGATATCCTCTACTGTGCCATTGAAACATGTAGCTAAAAATTTCAGTAGGTAAGTGCCGAGAGTCCGTATTATGTAAGTAGACATACAGTCCAGTGACCATGCTGAAACCACTGACGTTGTTGCAGTCATACATAGCCCAAACTACAAGCTCTAATCAGGAATATTACTGCTGGAACTTCGTAAAATATTTTTTATCTAATCAATGGAGTAGTTATACTTTGTGCTTTACTCTATGGGTAGATGAGAAATTATACGTAGTAATCACTGAACGTTATCAGTAAAATAAAAGGAGCGTGAATTAGACAAGCTTAAAAGCATAATTATCGTTGCATTTTGTCACAAGCGTCGATCCGTTTGTATTACAAATCCACCGTTATCACTTGTCCACAGGGAAGTTAAATTCAGTGTAAAGCTCTCACGTCAAACTTTAGACGTAACTCTTTTGGGTCACTAAAATTTTACTACCATGCCTTGTGACCAGGATATAATACCTGCTTCCATAAAATGAGAAAACTTAACTTCCCAGCACTTTATTTCATAGTGGTGGAAGCCTCAAAAAAGCATGTTTATTTTTGGTTGAGATTTTAAAAGTTAGATATTTTAGTATCTTAAGTGTGTGTACTGCTAATACCGTCATCCTTTTATTGAATACTTTATTTTTCCTGCAGTTAGATATAACCATTATTCTGCCTTATAATGTTCTAATGCATTGGAATAATTTATGGTCATTTACTAGTATCAGGACTTATCCTGCTATATAGGTTTCCTATTAGTCGTTAGTTCTAACCCTATCTTGTCTAATTGTTTTGTTTACAGCTTCTTATGGGTGTTTTTGCACGCGTAAACTCAGTCGCATTCTCTGAAGACATACCACTAAATGAAACAGCTTGGGCTGCTAGTGGCTATGCTCCCTTACATGTGGAGGAAGCTTATGTAATGGTGTCAAATAACTGTTTTATAGCTGCTGGGATCTACGTCGTCCTGCTAATTTTTTCAGGTGTTCAATACTATTTCAATAAACGAGCTAACTACTTAGCGCATTAAAGCCAACTATTCCATTTACATATGCATAATATTTACCATTTTTGTAAAATTCTTTCTAAATTAGAGTGATTGGTCTACGAAGCTTAGCCGACAAGTGGAACCCTTAACATGTAATTCTTAACCAATAAACTGTGTCAAATTGTACTAATTATGTAGATTGCTATCGTACTCATTAATTGTTTGAAAGATTACTTACGATAACATCTTGTGTTTTGCTTTATATCTGTTTACGAAAGATAATTGTGTGTGTCAAAAAAATAGGTGCGCTAATAGTAAAAGGCATCTACAGTCTAGCTGAAGTTCCTCTCATAACATGTTAGAATATCTATGGGAACCTGGAACTTTGAATTTACGTCCATATAATAGTTTGAAGTATATATATGGAGAGAGACAAACATAAACTTACAATATTATTTTAATATTTAAATCACGGTTATTAACACATCTACATTTAGAGTACAGGCACAAAACAAAAACAAGATAGGAAGAGAAGTAAGATGTTAATTCCATATTCAAGATATCACACAACATTAGTTAAATACATTATGGATTTTTGTAGGCAAAGAAAATAGTAAAAGGTGAAAGCAACCGAAGTATAAGAGTACCCCGAGTTCCTGATCCACTCATTAGTGTATTTATGTAATATTTGTTCACTCATAAATAAATTAGTTGAGTTAGATTCAAATCACAAAATCAAGAGATGGCGCTCTTCGTCCGTCAGTAACAATTATCATTATTGTCTTTACTCTCAATGTTCAATTAGTACACAATAGTCGAGTGAATAGAAATCATATCAGTAGTTTGAAATCATAACAGTTTAAATCATTATCAGTAGATAGTAAAATTATTTAAGCAAGACAACAAATGTATAGATAATAAAAAAGTTTGCCAAATTTATAATTTTTGTTTACGATATAAATAATCTGAAATCATTAAACGGGACAAAAAATTAAAAGCTGTAAAAAGTAGGCTCATGTATACATATTTATAGGTGAGTATATATATATGGGTAAATTATAGGAATGATTAAGAGGATCTTCTAATTTGTATGTTTTGCATCATCAACAACACGAAACAAGAATAACGAATACGTATTAAACCTGGTGTACAGAGAGATGAGGTAGCTGTATATCATTAAAGACTGAATGTATAATGTGTATAAATTGGAAAGTGTAAATTAGTAACTACAACCCTCATTCTGTCTGTAAGTAAAGAATTTAGAAAAATGTACAAATTTCGTCTTTTTTATAATTACTGAATGAAAAGATCTTGAGAAGAAGATAAACGTTGAAACCACCCTTTTTATACCGGCACAAATAATAGCTAGTGCATATTTTGTTAAGTATTATAATTATCTATTTTTATGTCATGTAAAACCACTTCAAATATTTGTTTTCAGCATAGAACTTAATAAGCAGTAATCTTTTGAACGGAATGGCGCTGAAAGCAAGAAGGCGCTTTATCTTCTCAGTCCTTTCAAATTTGATGCGGTTTGATAAGAAAGACGTTATAGGAGGGAAACTATTTCATCTATGATTAAATATTATGTATCCTAACATTGATTCCTAGGCTAAGTCATTAGTTTCGTCGTTCGCAAATGATATACTATTTACTGGTTCTGTGTTTTGATTGTTTAGTTCAATGTTTGTGACTGTGATCTCACAAGAAGCTGATCTGCTCTGTGGAGACGTCTGGTCGGGGCGGATAAACAACGAAGAGGAAGGATTATCAGTTTTCTCCGTCATGTTAGGGAGAGGATCCCCGGTAAAATTTGTCACACTATCTTCCAAACCAGACCTCGAAGCTTGTTTGTTAGGAGGTTTGACATGATTTAAACCGGGCTTATAATCCAGAGAATTATCCGGCAGGCATGAATTCATTACTAATTGACTTTGAGTAAATAGGTCATTTGATTCCAGTAAGTATGGGAGGATCTGAGCAATCGATACAGAACCAAGTAAATCTGGCAGTAAAAAAGGAAAGTTTGACAGTTTATTTCGTAATTACATGAAACAAAGCATACTTTAAAATGTTAATCGGTGCATAGTAATTGTATTTGATAATAAGTTATGGATAACTACTACCTCATGGAACTAAGATCGCTAAGTCTGCTAATATTTGTATAAACTATTGACTCCGTGTTGAGTAGGTCCACCGTGATTAGTATGTGGACGACCTTGAAATAATCTAGTAGAGTGCCCTTGGAACTTGTTATCCGCATACTGACGTTCAACTGAATTCACTTTATTTGCCAAATCCTTCTCAAATAAGATTGTTGTTTAACAGTTGTGGTTAGTTTGTTAGATGATGGAAATTTATTTAGAATCGAAATGTTTGCAGTTACTCCTATTTGATATCAGGGAATATCATATTAACCGGATTCTAACTGTGAACTTGACTAGACAGCTTCCTACTTGCTTTTTGAATACGGACTGTCACAGCGACAATCTAAATCCAAGGATATCTAAATTATACATAATGAATAGGACTTTATATACATATCCTCCCTTGCATTGATACATCATCATTGATGTACACATCTCGAACAAACAAAAGATTTTACCTACAAGTTCGATCATATCCACATAACGTGGAGTCACAAACTAGTTGGGCATTTTTTTTACTTCCGTTGGCATTTAATAAAGGATATGAACACTAAACAAAATCATATAGGAGCTGCTTAGTTACTGCCACGTGTCCACGATAACGATTAAGGTTTCCGGTCAGCCTACGGTAAATTTCGTTTACGAACGATTGAGGACTCTTCTAATATTATGACTCAAGGTGTAGAAACTAGAATGGGCTGGATATCTGCACAGTTCAAAGTTAATAAGCACGCTAAATAAGCAAAACAGAATATTCAGGGTAACTTTATATTCATTACAGAAGTGAAATTTGGAGAGGAACAGCTCTGTTTTTATAGTATTAAACAATGGTCTTCGGGCACTTGATGAAGTAAACTAAGGATGATGATAACCAAGCAACAGTAAATGCTATAGCGGAAAAATGAACTAGAAAAATATTATCAGGGATACCCTTTAAAAAAGACTAGGTAAGCCGATCTCTACCTAAAAGTTACTGTGATTATAATGTGGAGACTGTCATTAGTTAATAAACTACTGGCCAAGAGAGATTATTTTTAACAAAGAAAAATATATTCACAGTCTTAGGGTATTGAGATTAATTCCATGTACACTGATGCATTATATGGCTTAACAAAATATACACTTCTTTTAACTGGTTCAGGAGAAATTGAACACTTACAATTTCGTTTATTACTATCCATCCAAACATCAAATGGATATATAGTGCAGTTTTAAGAAGAAAATCACCAACAGAAAGAAAAAACTCACTTGAGAAAAATGCTTCTTCTAAATCTTTTGGATCTAAGTAGCGCAGTGTAGATAATAATTGTGTCAATATAAGAACTCTTTTAATAATAGGTTTTGTTCTTTTCGATGAAAGAGAACCAGTACCAGTAGTTGTAGAGGATGCTGCACGTGTAGACAAGAATTCAGAAAATTCGCTTAATACACGTGATTCCATTTCAGTAATTTGTTTAGCTAAACTGGCATCTCTTGCATTAATGCATAAACGACCTTAAAAATAAATAGAAAAATGAGACTTTACTAAAAGTTATACAATTTCTATAAATTTCTATTGTTGAATAAGATTAGTTTGAAATGATCATGGATAAGTACATTTATATCCAATAAATTAATGAATATGAAAGTAGAATAATATCTCAAATCTAATTCTATACTGATTAGAACTTTAACAAACTGAAGTTATGATCAAAAAAGTCTATAAATAATATTGATAATCAATAGATATATATAAACTAAAAGAAAATCATTCCCAAAATTAATTAATGTAGTCGTATATCAATATATGAGTCAATAATTAATCAGTAGTTAGTCCTCGACATTCAGCTCAATGAAGAATTAATGTACGATTTAATGTAAAGGAAAAAAAGAACGATTTCCTTTGAATCAATTGCTAAAGAAAAATTACACTATTTTACCTACCGTTTAATAACAGATATCACTTTAAATGAATATGACGTAATATATAACTAGCTCAACTCAATTTAGTGGTAATAAAATATGTAGAAAAAACAATGTAACATTTTAAAATAAATAATATCATTTTACCTACCGGAGCTAAGTATAACCATACATCTAAGATAAGTATATTCATGTGTGTCAACTTCAGCTCCTGAGAATTGTTTCATCAGCTGTTCCACTAGTTCTATCACAGCCGAAGATGATGAATTTGTCTTTAAGTACGAAGTATCCATTGGTTCTTTGATAGATGAAATATGTGAAGATGATGATGAATCAAAATTATTGGATTTAAATGAATTAGTTGGTGCAATACTGCAAGGAGAATTTGTTTGTTGTTCTCCTGAGATTTGGTTAACTGTCAATTGTAAAGTAGATTATTTAAAAGTAATGTAAGTAAATAAAATGAATATTATCAATACCATAAACGAAATAGACCCAATAAAAGAAAATTCAAGATATTCATCAATTTAATCTAAGTACAATTTTGATGTTCAGAGTAGCAGTAAAACATTTCCCTATAAAATAATAAAGTTGAAACACATTAGGGAGAAAATAATTTCTGAAGTATCAATAAGGATTTATATTAAATTGTTCGAAACTACAACATGATCTAGTCAATTTGATAGATCACTTAAACTTAGTTTACGGTAACCTGTATATAACACTTTAGAACAACTCAGAAGTAATAAACGATCAGTAATTTATAAAAGTTGCTAGTAAGATTTGTAGAAATCCTTTTAAAATTTAAGACAATTAGCAACAATACAAACATAGACACAGCTGTAAAAATGTAAGCTTGGAGTATTCTTTTTCTTTATTGATTTAAAACATAAGAGAAAATATAAAATATGCTCCATAAAACTTCATTGATAATATTGTGAAGAAACACAGGAAAGGTAGTAAAATGAATTAAAATGGTATATGATTAGAGATACCATTCAGTTAAAAATACAACAAGCTCGGAAGGGCTAGGTTTTCAAAACATACTAGAACTGTTCTCACTAACAAGTGAACCTGACCTTCAACAACCACACTAAGATCATGAAGTCCCCAGATTTGCATATGCTATTCCGGCTGTCTACGCAAAATACTTCAGATCCATTGGCCGGACACTATTAGCAACAACGTACTGTGGGAGAGAACAAACCAGATCCCAGTGGAGGAAGAAATCAGGAAGAAGCGCTGGAAGTGGACAGGACACACATTGAGGAAAGCACCCAACTGTGTCACAAGACAAGCCCTCACATGGAATCCTCAAGGTCAAAGGAAAAGAGGAAGACCAAAGAACACATTACGCCGGGAAACGGAGATAGACATGAGAAAAATGAACAAGAATTGGATGGAACTAGAAAAGAAGGCCCAGGATAGAGTGGGTTGGAGAATGCTGGTCAGCGGCCTATGCTCCATTGGGAGTAACAGGCGTAAGTAAGTAAGTAATTCCGGCTTTCACTATACGTAGATTGATCTCATTTCTGCTTGCCACATCCAGCACTAACACAACTGCTCAGACAGACGAGTTTTTCCAACCGCTTATCATAAAGACGAAGTGCAGAAACAGGCTTTCCTCAGTCTTGCAGAAGCACTTGAAAATAAGAAAGTACATGCTTCACATAAGGACATTAATTCCCAACTGAATATCTAGTATATCATCACACAGTAAAACAATGTTATCCGATGACTCACAGTTGAAATCTTTCCTCATGTAACAGACTCACCCCACCATCGCATACTTCCTTCAGAGCTGCCTGAGGAATATGGTTAATGATGGAATTATACGACATTGACAAACTCCACTGTTTGATTGGAACAATAGAAAAATGTGGTCGTATAATCTCACTCAGTCTGAAGTTTGTATACACAGCCTCCAAAATGTTAATAAACTTCACAGCTAAACTCTACTTCAACGGGTAATCCTGTTCAACGAATTAAAACGAATGTGACATCAAGAAACACAACGAATGCTGATTTGTCATTAGTGTGGTGATGTAACAATTGACGAAGGCAAAAACGTGATCACTGTATCCTCGACCGAAACTAAAACCAATCTGTTCCTCTCAAGCAAACGTTTTAAGTTTTTCTAGAAAATCTGCAGACAATAGCGTAAGTCAAAAAATTAGAAGCAACGAAATCACTGTTGCATAAACTAGGTAGAGCCTTACTAAAAATGAGAACGACGACCGCTTCATTGCAAAACAATGAAGAACTCTCCGTCCCCCTATTCCTTTTATACAATCCACCCGGTTCGCTGACCAGCGGTTCTCCAACCCAATTGGAAAGGTCGCCTGCTAACTTGTGATGGGCTTCAAAGGGTAAGTTTTTTTCCCAACCTGATTCTGGTTTAGATAACTTTGTATTCCGCTAATTATTACTTTAAGCAACCATACAAAACAAAAGCCTAGAAGCCAACTCCAGTTTTAGCATTCAATATTTACTACTTTGAAATAAAAAAGTAATAATACGTATCAATGTGTTTATATCAATATAAAAATAAACCGTTGCCGAAATAATGATAAAGCTGAGACACAAATATCAAATAAATGTTTTTTAACTAAAACTGACTACTACTAATCGTTATAGTAGCTTCGCGAAAATTGCAAACATTATTGGCTTACCTCTTGTAGAATTAATGTCGTTTTGTGCACATAAGCTATTTGTTGGTTGCGAGTCGTTTGATTCTTGATTTGGCCTATGATTCTGAGAACGATTAATTTGGTCAGCTGCTTGACATAATCCAAGCACAAAAAGGTCAGACCAGGAAATAGCCACTAAATCACGTTGAACTCCAATTCTAAAAGGAAAGCAAAACCCAATTATTTAATAAAAAACATTAATAAAATCATTATTACATTGTGTGTCGTGTGATTAGAAGTGACATCAATGTTTTCAAAAGTCACAGTTCAAGTTGAGGATAACACTTAAATAAAAGTTAGCTAAGAAAATTTAAATGGTCTGAAAGTGTCAATAAGGTAAAGCATAAGAGCTGACCACCATCATATTAATGATCAATATAAACAAAAACTACTTGCGACAAGGAACAGTGTTCCCGAGTTTTATGAAACTGATTGAAACACTAATCAGTCAGAAATCGAAATTTTCTTTATATACTAAAATATCAAATCAATTGGTGTTTTAGATAATACAATGTGGGCAATTGTTAACTTTTTTTATTATCCGGTAAGTAACTACAGTTGAAGACAGATTTTGTGTTCATTTGAAACTAAAAATGAATATTTATTCATTTCACCAGTACCTAGAGAATATAAAATCATTAAATTTTTTTCCTTAACAACTGTGACAATTCCACATTTATTTCTTAACTGTCAAATAACAATTCAGTACACCTTAATTTCATTATGGTTAATAAATATATTGAAATCTCTATACAACAAAAACTTTGTTCAATTTTGTTACTCAAGTGTTTATATGCTAAACTATTAAAATATATTCATACCCCATACAATCAATCCCTTATATCATTTAAAATATACAAGAAGAGATAAATAATTTATTATCAGAAGGGGTTTGTGGAGATTTTGGAAATTTCACAGATTGAAATCCTGAGTCAATTGAAGCTAGACCATCATGGAAAACCTGGAAGCACTGGACGTCCGTTTCGTCCTAGTATGCGACTCCTCAGCAGTGCTTCCGACTCAGTGGTCTAGTTGTTTAAGCGCTTGGTGCGAGACTGATGTGTCCTGGGTTCGAATCTCGCGGGGTGCGAGATCGTGGATGCGCACGAACAAATTTAATAGTAGATTTAGGAAAATTATAATTTCCACATTGATCTGAATAAATTTTAGATTTTAAATAAGTTCAGAAAAGAATATAAGATCAACTAGATTCATTCTAATATATCCACACTTCTAGAGTTAAAAATGACCTGGAAACTACTCGAGTATAACACACACAAACACATACACGATTGGTTCTAAATAGGTGAATTATTCCAAGTGCACATAATTGATAACACTCGGTTTATAGTGATTAAAACTTATATATATATTGTACTCTTAACGGATTAGTTACCAATATTTTTACTTATGATCTATCCATTATACTCGTATCTATCTACATACACAAACACAAGCAGAAACTTGATAAAACAATTAAAAACAAGGAGATTTTATTTTTCATCTTATCACTATATAAAGCAATTTAACCCAGTTTGAAGATTTAATAAACGTCAGAAGAAGAGAAAAAAAATGTATAAATGTAGGCATGATTCAATGACGAAGAAAAAAATGCATGATTCACTTTTCTTCTGTTTTCAGTTTGATGAATATAAACTAGTGTTAAAAAAATTAATACAAAGATTTTTTTAAAACCTACACAGTATATTCTAGGTCACATAATGTTGAATTCATTATTATTATTATTAAATAATAGATTAATGATAAATCTAATCTCAATTGATTTGTACCCTTTTTAAGATGATGTGAGACTAGCATAAAGACACAGTTTTTAAGTTAATACTTAAACATGTTTAACATATCTGATATTCACTTTATATTATTGTATCATCTAAAGATGAAATCATAGAAACCTTTTTTATAATGTAAGTTTAACATTTAAGAAATGTTTTGTGTATGTATGTATGTATGTATGTATGTATGTATGTGTGTTGTATGTGGATGAATCCGAGAATAGAATGAAACTGTTGTTCATTAACTTTTTGATGTTCACGATTCTCCAACAGATGCTACACCTCATAATAATAATAATAGACCGAGAAAAATTAATACTTGTCAGAAAGAAAAGAGAAAAAAAAATCACTCGAATTTCTAAAACTTAATCTTAAATACACACAATAAAAGGTTATTTTAATTAAATTCCCTGTAGATAGAATTCTATACCATGTTAATTCCGAACTGTCTAAATACAAAGTAGATTAATGATTATATTTGTTTGTTTTGTTTTTTCAACAACATAAAAAGTAGTTTAGTTTGAATAATAGTTTTACCTTACGAAATGAAGAATATTTTCGATTAGTTTCCTTTTTCTTTTAAAACAAATCCTTATGAATGATAAATACTTCTTACAGTATTAGAAATACATTTTCACATTTCAATCTCCAAATACCAATATAAATAGATTCACGATTACTTTAATAAAGATTGTAAAGTAGGATTATACTATCTGGATATGATTCTAAATATTTAGATTGTAGAAATTAGTAACTATGTATTGTACAATCTTCCGTAGATTTAGTATGTATAAAACAAACATTAATGAAAATAAGTACTGAAATATATATATATAATTTCGCTTACGGTAGACGCTTCAAGCCATCGAAACGACGTAACCAATCCACAGTAAGAAATAGAACTCGTGAAGCTAGTTCACTTGATATACTAAGAGATCGATTGTTATTATTATTATCTTGATACGCTTTGAAAACATGTGCATTTAAATCAAACATTGAATTCAATAAAACTGGCCCAACCAAAGGACTATTAGGTCTAGAATCATCTGAAGATTTAGTACATTCAGAAACACATTCCATTAGTCGACTTTCATCATCATCTTCACATGTTTCTCGTGTATCAGTTAATCCAATAGGATTATTTGTGTCAGGTTGCAATGAATTACTACTTTGTGTTCGTCGACGGATTGATCTGGCATTATTATTATTATTAACATCGGAAGGAAACGAGTAATGCATTTTACGTTTACGACTTCTTGACCAATTGGTTTCCTCTTTCTTCGGAGATGGATTTAATAATTCATTTTCTGATCTTAATGCTGTTACATCTGATGATGAAGTAAGCTCAAACTTTTTCGGTAGTAAATGACCGTTTACATCTAAATTAAACAAAAATATATTCAAAATAAGGTTTAAAAAAGCCAAGTGACGGTCTACGTATATGATATTTATACAATAATATATTCAGTGTTAATGAAATAAATCTCAATATTATCATGAATATTGAATAATAACATACATTTACATTAAGAATCATAATGATGGATAAAGTTTGTATATATGTGTGTTCTAAGTAATGTAACATTTGACGACCTGGATAATTGAGAACCAGCCTTATTGTCAATCTAGATATTAATGTCTACTTAAAGCAGAAGGTCCTAATGACGTTCGAAACGAAAACGAAAGCCTTACAACTCAACTATCCAGGTTAAAAGACGTAACATCAGCAGAGTAAACAAAAACGAAGTATCTTGATTATTTCTTAATGGGAAAACATTAACATTATCAATGTTCATAAAACTGAATAAATCATCTCAAGTTCACATGAAATATTATATCCAAGTTAGAAGAAACAAGTCATTTGTAACTTGAAACATCAGATTTCACAGGTTACCTATAAAACTTGATAGACAGATTATCACGAAAATGAATTTCACAGTGATTATTAAATCATGATCATTTTGAATAATGAATGCTTTGGAAGCTACGTTAAATCCTAACGACTTTATCTAGACTAGCTAACAGGCGATCAATAGCTGTTTTATTGTCTCAGACTGTAGAGTTAAGTAACGAGGAAGCATCGGCTCCATCAGAATTACATGTAGATCTTGCTGACGAGTACTAACGGGCACCTAGGTTCAAGGTTGCTTGTTGACTAGCTCCGGCAACCTAACGGACAAATCTCATTTCACAAAGTTTATGTCTGTATTTGACATTTCAAAAAGCCTCACATCATGACAAAAATATTAGTTAAAACCAATATTTTATGCAGTTTTTAACATGAATAATAAGAGGAAGTGTTATAGTTAATCGTACAGTTAGGTTGGTATTATCATTCTGTTATCTTAGAAAAAAGTTATATTCACCATATAAGAAAAGAATTAACAATGAAGGAAAAAATATGAAGTTACAATTAATCTCTCCATTTCACTACATAATAATCTTACTTAACATTGGATTTAATTACTGATCATTAAACTAGAACGTGGCATAAGTGCTCATCGGTGCACGTTATTATAAATCCTATACATTACATGATAAGAAGTAAAGGAGATAAAATTAACTACAATTATCTGAGTTATTTGAAATAACTTTGACTCAACATTTATACTAATCATAGTATCTCAATGACAAGTTTCTAATCATATATATGGTGTATGCATGCTACTTATGTTTACATATATAAGTATGTATCACCAGTCGGAAGTGGAATATCTGCGAGTAGAAAGTTTGGAAGAGAAAACGAAACTGAAGGCAATCAAGGTAAAAACAAGAATGAAAGAACAATGATGCTTGTAAGAGACAATTCAAAGACGTGCAAATGATGTATTTCATCCATGATTTCCACATTTTACTAAACTACTGTGTGATTGTGCGCTAAACAATAAGTTGGTTTTCCACACACAAAACTAAAAACTGCAATATAGTTTTACTTCTATAATCTTATTGTTACATCATGAACTCTAGAACTAAAAAACAGATGTGCAATGAACCTAGAAACTAGTTTCATTCTTCTATGTCTTTTTCACCTTATCAATAATTCGAAATGTACAGAAATCAACAGAATGATAAGGATAATTAAAATTTAGATTATTTAGGTCATTCTTGCCATGATTATCACTGAAATTTGAGATTTTAGGTCCGGTCAGTTCGTGGAGTGTAAAATGAATATACCTAAACCTCAGAGCATATTAAAAGTGAATGAATTAAAGCAGTAATTACTTTAAGCAATATCGTGTTATTCTCAAGACCATTTACTATGCAGCTTTATAAATATGATATTTGTTTAGCACATATTGATTATTATCAAAGTATTTATCTCCTGATTTGAAACAGGATGAAACACATAGTCATTTGTCAAAAATTATTCTCATTAATAAATATACTAAAAGGGGTGAATAAAACAAGACGTAGCACGAGATTGAAAATTTATTCCCATTTAGACTTCCTGATTTGAATTTGCGAGAAAATTGTGGGTCATGATTGGAGACGTTGAGTGATATAACTCAGAATCTGTTACAATGGTGTAGTTTCATTTGTCATTTTATATCTTACCTTTCATCCATCTCATACGCTGCACTTAGTAAAATTCATATTTCTCATGTTTATATTTCCATTGTAATTTACATTTGTTTCCTTTCTCTATTTCCAATCTTAGATTTTATTCGATTGATGTGCTGATATAAAGTGTGGCTGCTTCGACTGATGGATACATATTCCTACCTCAAAATACACTATGATAGTCAATTTTAAACAGATACTCTCAATTATTCAGTGGAAATTTAGACTAGAATTGATCAATCAGACAGATATCCTGGGGCTATTTCTGCACTTTTAATGCTAATTATATATATATATATATATATATATATATATATATATATATATATTTGTCAGGTGAATATACATACAAAAAAAAGATTTTCAAAGTTTCCCTAAGTTTTGATGTCAGAAATCTAGATTAAAACTATTGTAATCATCTTAAATCATATGATTCAATGATCCACTTAATAAAATAATAACAATGTGAGCCAATCTATATGTGTTGCATTCGATTTATTTTTGGTCTGACAATGAAAAACAAAAATCTAGTATGTTCTCAGTAATAATTTGCAGTAAAAAAAGGATGAAGTTTTACAGAATGATGTAGTGACAGGTATACATCAACACGCAGGCAGTGATATATGTATGTCGAATAATAAACTCATTAGTTCTTGATATTATTACTATTCGTATGAAGTGAGATGAATACGAACAGCTGATAATCAATCTAATCTGAAATTGTTCCAACATATGAATCTTCAACATTAATCGTATACTAATAGTTTAAGTAAATAATAAAACACGAAATTTTCATCACTCAATAATAATCAACAAGATATAATAATAATAATAATAATAATAATAATAATAATAATAATAATAATAATAATAATAATAATAATAATAAAGGTCATTAATATAGTGAAATTATTATCATATTCCTTTTAAATACTTTAAAAGTATAAGTGGATTTACAAATATATATAAATCAATTAAACCCTATGGTTCAGAAAACGTATATCTATCTAATTATGTGATATCAATAAACAACTTCATATTACACACATTCACACACTCGTCTATAAACATATACATATGATAGATGTAAATGTAAACATATGAATTAGATTGACAAAAAAAAATAGAGGTTAGGAATTAAGTGATTATTCGAGGACACATTGAGGTCAAACAAACAAGGTCAAGATTAACTACAACAAAAAGTATACACGTGATACACATAAAATTATATAAGGATCTTCAATGTTCAAACATGAAAATGCATATATAAATACACATATATAATTAAGCATAGATAATATATAATCTACAATTATGCTAAAGTACAATAGATCGTTAAGCCGTGTCAGCATGAATTAAAGTAGGTCAGGTAATAACTATCCAAATGGTATATATAATTTATTAAAGAATATATCTACTACTAAACAGATATGTATGCAAATATATGTATATTTTAGTGAACCGACAAAATTATATATATATATATATATATATATATATATATATATATATATATATATGCCAGAATAAGGTCAAATGAAATCAGTCTACACTAATAATCAAAGTGTATGAACTTAAAGTATATAATGTTATAACTATCATCAACATTATCGGCACAATTATCGATTGAATATCTTTCTAAATACATTTCGGATATTGATAACAATATAAATTTATAAAAGTAATTTCAAATTAATCTACCAACAATCTACAAGTGAGTAAAATAACAAAATACATAGCTAGTGTATGAGGTTCAATTTAAAGAAAAAAAACATTACGAATAGTATCATTGACTATAAACTACGCACAGAAATTCCACACATTTATTAATACCACACAACTTAACAATATAGTTGATAAGTATTAACCGATTTGTACTTCATTATTGTAATCATTGTTAACAATAGTACTTGATACAGAATATATATATATATAAGTACAGTTCGATTTCAATTTACCAAAAAGATGAAATAGTTCAGTTTCATTAGTTTCCTCATGAACTACTTAAAAAGTGAGCTAATATTAAAAAAAATATTTCACATATATTAATGATTTCATATCTTAACTAACAATGGTGTTCAAAGAAAAACGCTTAAAAGCAACATGATTATATCTTGAATTGAACAAATAATTCATACCACCTTTGCTAAGATCAATACCATATAATATCACCAACCAAACAATTTAAGTATTATATTCACATTAAGAAATATTGTTGCATAGACTGACATTTCAATGTAAAAAAAGAAAACTAGGATTATGCAATCATAACTGATCCCACTTTGTTTCAATGTTATTTAATTAACATTATCCCTATACGACACAATGTATAGACAGAATAATTATTCTAACTTACAAACTATGTGACATCTATTGAATAAGTCTTAAAAATTATAATACACTAATCTGTTGAATATGAAACGATTAAACTAACAAAAAAAAACCCAGTTTATTTAATTCTCCCGATGTAATGGATGAATATTATTAATTAGCTTACGCCTGTAACCCCTCATGGAGGAGCATAGGCCAGCCATCAGCATTCTCCATCCAACTCCGTCCTGGGCAATCCTTTCCAGTTACTATTCATCCTTTTGATGTTTGCTTCCAAATCCCAGCGCAATGTGTTCCTTGGTCATATCTTAGCAAAAATATATTCTCAGTAATTCATTGTGTAGTGTAATAGAAATAAATAAACTAATATGGTTTCAGTGAGAAATATTAGTAGAAAATTTTGTAATTATAGGTTAAGTATAACTGATAGAACATAAATACTTATGCACTAAGATAAATCATAAGTACAGATACCCAATCCATATTTTCATTGAAATGTAAACCATGATCATAATGTATATATTTGAGTTGAATCAGTCGATTAAACATGTGTGATTTTGTATTTAATGATCTCTATTATACTACCTGCAATAAAACCCCCAACTTTATAGTTTTTAGTGCAGTAATAACTTAGTTTTTAATAGTTTTCAAAAACTGATGATTGTCTGTATATATATATATATATATATATATATATATATATATATATATATATACTACCAGCCAGTGTCAAGTATATGGTTTTGGTCAATTTCAAAGGAATGCACAGTATTTAATATATAAGACATATTTCATTCAGTAGAAAGTCAATATAACTTAACATTCGACTAAGATTATTTAATAACAATCAGCAGAAGGAAACTGGTAAACTTTACATATAGCCTACCTCGATAACTATTGATTAGTTCACCAGACTCGTGTGTATTCTCTTCCATATTGTTAGCAGTGCTACTATTACTACTTCGTCTTCCTCTAACATTAGTAGTAGTAGCAACCATACTACTGCAAGAACCACTCTTAGATTTATCGTCAGTATCCGTTAAAGTACTTGTCTGACTATTTGAAGTACGTTTGCACAATAGTTGTATTAAATTTGTTGACTTGATTGGTGGAGGTGCTGGTATGAATGGCGAATTATTGTTAGCAGCAGAATGCATCGTAACATTATTATCATTACCAATAGTATTGGTATTATTATTATTATTCATAGTTGATATGGTGTTATTGAGACCAAATAGCGAAGCTGATAAGCATGAAGATGAACTGGAAGGAATAGGTATTTCAAGTGTATTCGGTGAAGTGGATGAGTGGTGAGAATTTGAAGAACCCATCTGTAATTGATGCTGATGAGAATGATGTTGAAGCATAAAGGGATGTTGCTGGTGAGAATGATGATTGATTGGTGCTTTTTGTAAATGTGCTGTGGTTGAATTAACTGCATCCGTCAAAGCATTGAAATTATTCAGTCCAACATGATCCGATGAATTTAACATAATCGACATCAACACATTTAAAGCATCTGAATGATTGCTTGCACTAGATAATAATGATGATTTAGACGAATGATTTAAACCATTAATAAGTAGCTGATTTTCTAAATTACAATGTTGTCCAAATAAACTATTTGGATTTGTTTTCATACTAAATTGTGATGTAGAATTTTGATTTGAGCCAATTATTGCTGATGTAGTGGTCACAGTTGAAGATTGTGCTGTTTTCAATGATGATAGTGAAGTTTTCATATCAAGTGGATTGAAATTTTGATTTGAAGTGGACAAATGCACCGAGTGATTCTGTTGTTGGTGGTGATGATTATGATTTTCATTGTGCCGATGATGTAAAGGATTTAAAGATCCAGCTGCTGCTGCGGCAGCTAACCAGTAAGTGTATAACGCGGCTAAACTACGTCCTTGTTGATTTGATGATGACGATGATTGCAAGGAATTTATATTATTCAAAGCTAACTTAGTTAATTCATTCAAATTTAATCCACCCGTATCATCAAAAAGTGGCAAAGGATCCTGATGATTTGACACAGATGTTGAAGACGAACTTGGTGTGTTTGAGAAAGAAGCCTAAAATTGAAATATATGAATTACAATGAATCTTTAGATCTAGTGTAAGCATTAAACCAACAAGCAATTAATTATATGAGAAAAATTGCTGAACTAATTACATCTAGACATATACGTAACACAATAAGAACTTAATCTATTTCTTTCTTAGTTTTGCTTCCTAGCTCATTGTAAATTCATATTCATAGATTTCCAATTACAGTTGACTGCTAAGATATCTGATTGTACTATCGTTTCTATTCAGATTTAACACTGGATAAATGAGCAGAAATACATACATGCTCATTTATTTGGTCCTCTTAAATGAGGTATCCTGTGCCATAAAACCCTTCTTTACCAAACGTAGATTAGTGTATTTGGCTTCGAGTTTCATTCTAAATGTGAAGACTAATGATATCACCTAGTACTTTAAGCCAAATTAGGCGAAGCGAATTTTGAGCCTGTGAATTAGTGGCTAAAATTTAGACCCCTTATAACAGTTGAGTCCCCTCTCCATTGTAAAACAAAAAGGGAGCACATTTTAAAAATAGGCTCGCTATACAACTATGAAATTTCTTACGCAAAAAAATTCTTGATTATGATACAAGTTATTTGTGTTGCAAAAGTCGAAAAAAACATGGTCGAAATGCTTACATCACAGTGAAATGTATCAATAGAAAACAAACTAGATTTTATTGAATTAATAATAAACAAAACAGAAATCAATATAGTAATAATAATCGTACCGTTCTCCGAGAATAAGATTCTTGTGTTGCACCTCTCTTATTGTCAGGTATATCGAAAAGCTGTGAACTAAGAAGAGTGTTTCGATTCATACAACGGCTGAAATTGGCGATTCCACAGTCTGGATCCAGATGACTAGTTGTATGACAACCCTCTAACACATTACTGTATGAGGGTAATGCACTAGCATAAGCTGTACTATTGTTATTAACACTACTACTACTACTACTACTACTACTACTACTCACTGAAGTTAATGAACGTTGACGAGCGAAAGATGACGCTGAAGTGGATAAACAAACAGCAGGAGGTTGCTGAAGGGAATGTGATGTAGCTTGGGGTGAGCTACACAAACCTGGTGTAAATTTTAATCCTAATGAAGTTTGTATTACAGGAGGCTTAATATCGTGTTGTAAGTAGGATGCATTATTGGGATCATTGATTTCAACATCGGCTACTGTAGCTGAATAGGAAGATGACGATGATGAAGACGAAATATCACTTAAAGCAGAGTTTTTACTGATTCCTGTGAAGTGATTATCATCTAAATGCTTTGATCCAATGACTCCTGATGTTAACCCCGATGATGATAACAGTCCCACTGTTGTCGCCCCTGACGACGTTAATGGCACTGACCGGGAAGAACCGGATGGAGAACTATGAGATGACAATCGGCCCTCGTCAGATTTCTGTGTTGTAAATTCCGAATGATTATTACGGTCTTCATCTTCCAATTCTTCTGAGTTCGGTTCAATTTTACATGGTATTTGTTGAGACTGTGGTGAACTATTACGAACGTTTGGAACTGATGGTCCAAATGTTGAAGTATGACTATTATTATTACCATTATTAGCAGAAGTAGTGGTTGTTGTTGTTACTGTTGTTGTTGTTGTCATCGTCGTAGAAGTAATAGATGCAGTAGATATACTAGGATTAGGTGAACCGCCATTATTCATATTACTACTGCCACCAGTAGTTGTACAATTTGAATTACCTGGATTATCGTTTAAAAAATTCAAAGCAAATGTATTGGTAGGTCTACGTTCATTTTGCACAGCTTCTGAACGCATGCCAACAGCTAAACATTTTTGTAGCCGACAATATTGGCAACGATTACGATAGGCTTTATTTACAAGACAATTTTGTTCACTGCGACATACGTAGCTAACGTGTCCTCGAATAGAACGTTTGAAAAATCCTTTACATCCTTCACATGATACAACGCCGTAATGTCGTCCTATAGAGAAAACGAAATAAATAAAATAACATCCATCAGTCAGCTGAAAACCAAATAAACGAAGGACACTCTAGTCACGCGTTATATCACCACTTGAAACATTAGTAAAAATACAACAACAAAGAAGTTCACTTACTAAGCCACAATCAAGTAGTGTTGAGATTCTAAGGTATCATGCATAAATCATGATCCTTTACGATTACAGGTACACTTTGCTGACGAGTGCCGACTGGCATAAAACCTACATCCACGGTCTTTCCTACCAACTACCTCGAACCACCTAACATGAAATATGATAAAATTTTATTGATCTACGCATATCCACAATCTTAACAGCTGACCTACCATGTTAACCCATAAATTGTACACTTGACTATTTCCACTCAACAATATCCAACTTCAATAGTCATGTTGCTTCACAGTTATAAAGTAAAATGAATACTTAAGTTTTATTAAACTTTACGGACAAAGGAAATAATGACAGAGAAGAAAACAACTTAAAGTAAACAAATAGTAAAAAGAAACAAGAATATTTTAGACGTACTCTTATCCAAATAATATCATCCACACTGCGTTATTACTGTCTTGTACTTACAAATCATACACATGTGTAAATTTAAATCATCAAAAAGTATCTGAAAAAACTATCCTCGCCTTTTTTCTTTAACAAACAAACCATAATCACTAACTAACTAATAATGTGTCTAGGCCAGGAAGAAAACAAAAGAAGATTTGAGCAGACAAAGACAAAAATAAGAGTGAGAAAAAGAGAAAGATACACACACAAAGTAATAATCAATACAAAGTCAATCAATACATCCATTTGAATAACAGAGCAATAAAATGATAACAACAACTTGGTCTGTCAAAGCGATTAAGAAAAATAATTACAATTACTACTCATTTAAGTAGTAAATGATGTATACGTACGCACAACAGAAACAAGAAATAATAATAATAAGCAGATCTAAGATTCTGACGTCATAAAAAAGAAAATTCTAAATGAGTGGTCGATTCTTGGTAATCATAGTTCATTTGTTTGTTTTTGAATCGGTCATATAATGCATACTTTATACATAAAAAATCAAGGTATTCCTCACGATTAGTTTATGTTCGTATAGGTGTAGATTGAAGCGCAAAATTTAAATGTACAACTGAAAACATACAAGTACAATCTTCAGTGAGAAAAAAAGAAAAAATACAAAACATCAAAGTTTATGGAAAATCACCGTTATTATCAACTACTAAGTACCATAATAAATATAATTTTTGTTGTATTCCAGAGAGTAGAAAAATTGTATTTCTGACGTTTCGTGACTTAATATAAGCCACTTCTTCAGAGTAAATAAGTACCATGAAGAAGATTAATTAATTACTAGTGGATAATACATTTCATTTCTGTAAACAGTTAAAATATGTTGATTATAGAAATTGAAAACAAATGGGATAATAATTATGTCTTTGTTGTGTAGCATCTTTCTAGTTCCCTAAAATACAGTACGTAAAGTGAATTTCAAAAATACTTGACACATTGATTGAAAGTTAAAGCAGCTAAATTACAGACTCCTGTTGGTATATAACCTCGAACCACTTCTAGCTCACACATCTTATAAAGTATACATAGTAAAACATTGAATTTATGAATTCCTATGTGTAAGATTATAACACTTGACAGCTATGGTGACAATAGAATAAATAGGGTTTGAATCTACAACACAATAAACACGACTTAATTAGCTGGATCGCAAAAGCTACTATTTCTAACATATTATAAGCATGGTCTTTCGTTCAATTCTAACAATATAATAAATGTATTAATTTACTTACATGTCAAATTCTCAGAGAATTCAAGAGTACTTTTTACTTTAAAGCATCAGGGAATAATGAATATATACTTTGTTGCATTCTGAAACTCCAAATCATTATCTCCTAGTATTTCCCTTTTTAAAACGTTTAATTCTCAATATTTCTAACTGATCTTCTCGAGGATTTTCTATTTGAGTGCTGTTAAAAGGTCTCAATCTTAAAAATTACCTCGTAATAGATTCGATCTTTTCCTTTTCTAAGTCAAATGTAAATTATCGTTATCACCACAAATGGCGATTATATGAGAACTCTCTAGAATCAAATATCACAAAATACTTGATGTGTGATAGTGAAGGTGAAATATGATTTGTCACAAACAGACACAGTCTACTGACTATTAGATATGATTTCCTTCCCTCTCATTGATTCCTACTCCATACTCATTGAAAGCGACTGATTGCAATTGTGTTGAATAAAGTATTATCTAGTCTATACTCTGATTCTCTATTCTTGGTTGTGAATCCTGGATCTTATATAACATAACTATTCCTATGACCGTAGTATACATGAGAGAGAGAAAATATATTTTTTATGAACGATCCGTTGTATCATTACCGTATTGTTTGACGACATCATAAGTTTCAAAGATTTATAAATGTTAACTTGACAATATTTCGATAAAAATGTATCTAATTTATTTTTATTATTTTTTACCTTAGTAACCAAGGTCGTACTTATTGATTTCTTTTATAATTTATGTTTAACATTAAGCACATTTAGACTGACCTCAACAGAAATCGCTTTCAATCGTGACTTAACTTTTCATCATTCAATAATAATGAGTGAACTACGAGGTGAAATTTCAATGGTTAGACGCAATTCATAACCGATAGAATATTGAGATAGTAGAGAGATTCATTTGATAGGAATTCGCCATCCAGTCAATTTTTATACGTGTAGTAAACTAAAATTATGACGATAATAATAATAAAAGTTAACTTTTTAAGGTATAACCACGTACTTCTACTACTTCGCAAATAATATTACAGCGTAACAAATTAAATATTCACTTCACGATAACAACACTTAATGAATTACTCAAGCACCTTGAAATGGTCAACCATAGGTTTAAGAAAATTGTACAACTTATAACTTTAAAGTGAAGTTTCATGAAACAATAAACAGTTGTCGCTTATTAGTTTCCAAATCCAAGGCTTAATACTGACTGAATATCGAATCCCCAGTGTGTGCTGAATGAAAAATGTCATGGGAAGTTCTCGCTCATACCTTCTGTGTGACAGTGCCATCCAACATATAAATAACCTCGCATCATGTGGACTGACATAACACAAATGCATGTGTTCACCTTGAGATTCTCGGAAAATCGATAAGTTTAAGTCACAGTTTAAAGGTGATTCAACCAGTTTTTCTTATTCAGAAAAAGGACTTTTATCCAAGATTTGAAAAACAATAAACAATGATTGAAACAAATAATCTACTGACCTGAAGCTTTATCGCCACAAACTTTACATGGTTCCCATGATTGGTTGTCACTCGATAAATTTACAGCTGTTTGATTCATATTCAAACCAGTGTTAGGTGATGTACCAACAGGAGTACAGCCATTTAAAAGTAGAGAATTAGGTGATGATGCCACAGTTTCATTTGGAGGATAAAACTCTCCAGTAGGAGGATTAGACTGATTGGGACAAATGAAAGATGGTGTAGATGATGAAGAGGGCGGGCTAGAAGCCAATGTAATAGGTTCAGGTGATATCCTTGAAGATGGTCGGACAAACGAATTACGAGGATTATTGTTATTACTACAGTTATTAGTGCTATTTGGAGAGTGAAGAGATAAAAAACTTGAAGCTAGTGAATAGGTTGGTGGAATCAACTTTTCTGAACTACAATTAGATTCATCGTTGCTCATCGACCGACAATCCCTTAGACCAGTATATTGTCCAGGTTGAGAAATATTAGATATGGAATTCCTTCCCGGTCCAAGGTGAGATGTATAAGCATTTGATCCTGTATTAATATTCAACATTTGTTTAAACAAAAGACTCTGCAAAGCGGATGATAAATTTTCATCAGTTGGGAAGATCGGATTGAATCCATCAGTAGCCTGGAAATATTAACACGAAACAAAATTTGAGACAAAAAAATTACTATGAATTAGAGTTAACTAAAATCCATGCAATAAGTGGATATGTGTAACAAAAAGCAGCTCGAAAATTAAGCAAACAAAACTCCCTTAGTGTTTAAATTTTTCATTTCAAAGTAGTCACAATAAGACGGATAATAACACAGTGAAAAATAATATCCATACAGGGCACAACAAAACAAGAAAGCAGACTAGTACTACAATTTACACTTACCAAATTTCCAAGCTGGTTCACAATATTGGAAGGCGGAGGAGTTACGGCAGCAGCCGCAGCAGCAGCAGACAGTTGTGCAAGAAGATCAAATGAAACATTGCCTGAAGGATTTGTACTGTTACTACTTTCATTGGATAAAATTTGACCAGAAGGTGACACTTTCTGGATTCCGGTTGTTGCTTTACGATTAGACAAATTAGTTAACTGTTGAAAGGTTTGGTTTAATGATCCACTGTCAAGCATATCGTTAGACAATAAACTATGGGCAGAAGACTGATCAAATGCAGGAGAAACTGATAGACTGATTAACGACTCCAAGACTTGACGTAAATGAATATTGCAATTGGCACCATCTATTTCAGAAGACAAAGTGCTAAGAGGATTTAAAGGATTTGTGATTGGACTAGTGGAACAACTAGAAGGGTCTAAATTTCCTGTCCCAGAAAGAAGAGACAGTAAGGCAGCTGAATCCAATGGAGGTGTTTCTTTCTTGGATTTAACTTTTTGTCTAGTATTCTACAAATAAACAGACAGATAAAAAATATTTTAAAGAGATCTACATGAGCAAAGCAACAAACTATGTTAAAAAACAATGGAAACAATGAAACCTTAGAGAATCTTTTCTGTACGCCCCAATGATTAAAATTACCTATTCGAACGCTTAGTAAGCTCAAGTAACTAAAATTAATCTTGGGTGATCTTTCTGAAGTTTACACGAGAAAATACCAAAGCAATTTTATAACCGAATGTAGAACACAATCAATGTTCTAGTAATCCTATCATTTCTTAAAATAAAAAACTGATTAATTTATACGTAATCATACGATTTCAATAAAAATTACCCTGGTTCATGTGTACAACATATATTTTCCAAGAAAATGAGATAAAATAAGACGTGAGAATAATATCAATTTTGTATCATTATGCTGTGATACCGAAGATACTACAGATACTAGGATTTATCGACGAACCGATCAGACCGAAGATACAGAATCATAGATTTGGGGGGGGGAGAAATTCATTCAACCATATGACCGATTTGCCTTTTGGTTAATAATTGATATCAGTTTATAGCAAAAACGCTAATTTGATCTCTATCTTTAACTTCTCAAGGACAATTTAGTCTCGCTCAAAGTTCATCCATAAGTTATGGTCTCTCCAAAACAATTGCCATTAAATCACTTATTAATAGATTGTGAAGCTTGTACGTATATACTGTATGCAGTGACGTCCGACTATTTCAATCTGAACTAGATGATGATTGGTTTGCACATTTAACAGTAAAGTTAACAACTAGTGTTGAAACGAATTGGTAACCATACGGTACCCTAACTTATATAATTCCGTGATTAATATCAGCTACAAGTGTTGAGATGAAATAAGTAGGACTGTTATCCTAAGAAAACACTGGATTTTCCCACAATATAAGTAAATAAGACAAGTTGAGACCGGAGTACTGATCCAAACCTTAAAATAAAACAGTTTATCCTTTTCTTTTCTAAATTGTTATAATAAAGACTAACTAAATTTCAAGTAGGGTTCCTTCAGGAAACTCTACTCACACGTAACCAATCAAAGAGAGAGAGAGAGATGTTAGGATGCAACAAATATATAACTCAGTAATTTAACCATATCTGTTAGTTAAAGCATTTTAATCTATTGGGGTTGCCAATTATATGCATCCATTCAGTTATTGATTAATTAATGTCAAATGGTGTCTAGTGTAGTGTCGGGTGCTATGTTACGCCCACATAGCCTATTTTAGCTTCCGGACAGGCCAATTTATTCATCCTTCTTGAGCCCCATTTTGACCTTGTTAATCATTCACTTGCCAAACTTGACTGTTTTTTTATGAGTGTATGTGTGTATATCCCTTATCCTATTCATCGCATGTCTGTAGCTTATTTTCTTCTGACTATAAATATTGAGTCCTGCTTAATTCGAGTTAGCTCACATAACCTGTCTGATCCGTTTCGCTTCATTCCTCTAACTGTCTGTCTGAATCAACGATTGTGTGAAATATACGTATTCGAAATCCATTCTTGCATTTGAATTATTTAATTCCAATATTCACTAACGCGACTTAAGTCGTTGACTATATACGAGGGTTGGCGGAATGTATGTTTCGATAATAATTAGAAACGATCTAACTAGAGTCAGATAAAGAAGAAATAACCTCCACTCTAATTCAATATATTAATGTCTGAACATTCATCAGATAAGTAAGTAATACATAACTCAATGTATTTTAGATATTGTTTTGGATCTATTGTTGGCGCATAGAAAAATGTTCATCTGCAGTTCTGTCATCTTTCCTGCACCAAGTTAAATCAATCTTTATTCAGTTATAACAAGTAGATATATCTGTGTTTTTGTCTAATTGCAACATGAATAATCAAGCGTCATTATATATCGATTAGGGGTTATCCATTCTTTTGTATTTCTTTACGTATTTCCAATTTCAGTTTATTGACATCTCTGGTTTCCAATCGCTGTTTTATTTAGTTTTGACTAGCAATAAACACGTCATCTCAAAGTCGGAGGAATGAAAGATTAACCTGAGTATTGTAGTGAAAAAAGAATTAAGGTTTCAATGTTTCCAATGCTGTAGTTTGAAAATACACGATACACAATTAAATATTTTGAACAAAAGAAGTGTTACGATATTTAAAAGCTAATAAACATTGGTTATTATGTTATGATTTGGATTGTGCTGTTGTCGATATTTTGAAATTTTGACCAGTTTTGGTTGAAATGTGTGGATTATCTTAATATAACCATCAACAAAAGTTTGTGTGCAGTAGATGGAACAGAAATAACAGTGGAGTCCAGGACACCCGTTTCTTCCTATCTGAAGCTCATCAGCTGTATCTACGTGTATCCCAGAATTTATATTCACTTTCGGCCTCGTACTCAATACCCTCCTCTCCAAATTACTGAGTCCGAATATCCGAAGTGAACATTAACTCTGGGATGCAGGTACATCTCGTGTGTTCAAAATGAAATCATGAATTTCACTGCTAACCATATTCTATATATTCTGTACGAACATTGGTTGTTCTTACTCGCAATATTATTCTTCACTATTTTGTTTACCAACTGATAAGTAATACTTTATAGTTGGATATTTTGTATACAAAGGAACAGTTTTAATTTCCTACCATATACCCACAAATACTCAGTCAGTGTTATTATATACATCACAACAAACAGAGATAAGAGAATTAACCTGAACTACTATTGATTATGAATATTGATTTTTAAAAAAATAATGCTGAAAAAATTAAATTGACTGTTGGCTTCATTTTACCCTTTTACCTGTCGTTCGATCGTTTTCACGAATAAATAATTCACACACATGAACGCACATACAAGCAAATACACAACTTAAAATGTAAAGAAAAATAGAGGTGGGACAAAGAAAAAAAGTAGATAACAGTAGCATAACTCGTTATATTATTATTATTATTATTGAGATCAACACTACTGAGTGACATAAACACGTAGGCGATAGATAGGTATCGTAATGATAAACAGAGTAGTAAGAGTAGTAGTTGCAGTAATAGTTGTAGTGGCCTTTTGACCATGTTTTGAAAGAAACAAAGAACGAAAAAGATTTGTTGCGTATATATGCATACACACGAAACACAAGAAAAGCCATTGCAAACACATATGCACACATACACATTTTCTAAACCATTCATAAATAACAATTTTACCAATATACCTTACATATGTTTTCGTCAGTTATATGTACACACAAAGTCAGTAAAATTACGACGACTTAATCAATCTACTAACTAAAAAGTGATGAAGGTGATAATATGACCAGAGTGAAGATAATTGCACTAAAAAAGTAAAATTTAGGAAGAAAGTTGGCTAACGTACATGGGTCTCACACAGTTCGATTTTTATGCTTGAACTTTAGATGTAACTCTCCGTGTCCACCAACCCGCTTTTCATCCTCTCAATTTCGTAAACAACACCCCTGCCATGAGAAGGCAGTGAGTAGGACTTTCCTGGCAGATGCTATATACGCGTGGCCATGTGAGAGCATTTCAAGAGGGAGGGCGGACTCCCCATTCTCGGCCGTACCAAGCCATTCGGGGACACTTCAAGCCTAATCCTTATAGTATTGTCCATGTAAATAAGTAGCCTAGTTAGGCAGAGAAATACTCATTTGTGAATGAAAATTTAGCGGTCAGACAAATGTTTATGTACTGAACCGTGAACATCGACTGATAAGAGCTTGATAATGATAAAAATAATAATATTAATAATAACAATAATAGGCTTACGAAATCCTAGTAAAGCGAATAAAATTCATATTTATAACACATTAATCAAAAATCAATTCCCTTGACCAATGAGACACAAAATGTTGCCAAGTTAGTTGAAAACGATATTGAGTAGAAGACGCTTGTCTGAATACACTTGAGTATCTAATTAGCATATTGTTTATCATCAAATAATTAATATATATATATATATATAAATGTTTTCAACAGAAAATACTCATTTGTTAATAGACGTAACTTTGATATTTTTGACTTTTGACGTCATGCAAAATTAATCAAATACTGGATCTTTCATTATTGAATGAACTGATTGATTGATGATTGTATATTAGATAAATTAATATTGACAACATAAATTAACATTTCAAATAGAGAATTCTCACCTAAGAGATAAACGTCTTTTTTGAGAAAGAAAGTGAACAAGAGGGTAAATACAATTTAGTCATTTATTCTACCACAGGTTTACATAGTGATATTTTTCGTTTATGCAGCACAGACAGTTATCTATAAATAAAGAATTTGTACACCACAAAATTACTACTTTCTACATAATATTATGTACTGAGCAAAGTTTCAAAATGATTTGTGCTTCGATTGGTTATAATAATTTGTTTACAGGATTTTATACGGTAATCAACTTATCTGTCAAAAACCACATTTAACCTACCGGCATGAATTAACACTATGCATATACATTGATGAATAGTTTATGGTATAAATACACATGAGAATGATGAGTGAGTCCAAGTCAGTCTATGAAAGTTTAGAGAGATTTTCAAGTTTCAAAAATATACAAAAATCGTAGTAAAAACAGAATTGATAAATAAACTGAAGAAAAAAGAACACTTATAAAGTGGATTTATTGAAAGTAGTCTGGATAGTTCATCATAAGATATTTGCTGTAATATTGTTCTTCAAAAGAATACGAAATTAATCTTTTCTCGGGGAATTTCTTCAATCAAAATATTCTAGACTTCAACAAAGGTCATAACACAGTGACATAATATCTTAAATTCATAAACTTTTAATCTAGTAGAATATGAATCGTTACTAACCATCACAAACAAACTATCAAAATACACTTATTAATTACCATATTTTAATAACAAATTAACTTATCTGTCATCAACATTCTCACAATAATAACTCATCAAAACAAGAAAAAAAGATGAATTAATTTGAATTTTTAGCCAATCAACAAATAATTTACCTGATCTA